TGGGTTTGGGGCACTGTGTGACACAGCGTGTTGGACTGGATGGGCCACTGGCCTGACCCAACATGACTTCTCTTATGTTCTAACTCAGTGTGCTGCAGCATAGAAAAAAAGTCAAACTCTTAAGGTAGGGATGATTAGGAAAGGGATTGAGAATGAAACAGCTGAGATTGTAATGCTCCTGTATAGACCTATGGGGTGGATCTGTTGTATGGAACAGTGGTCACAAAGGGTGTGGAGGGGGAGGTATTTGAGTATTTCCTGCATTGTGCAGGGGGTTGGATTAGATGACCCTGGAGGTCCCTTCCAGCTCTATGCTTCTATGACTGTGATTTGTATTAACCTGTTATGATGAACTCCTGTATCTCCCTAAATGTCTAACAGTTTTTTTCTGTCAAATCTTCAGTCCCCATCAGTGACTGAGTTGCCCTACAGTAGCATGTATAAATTCCTTGTCATAAAAGACTTGACTGTCCCACCCTATGTTTGAGATTTTTAATTTAGGCTTTATGTTTTAATATAGGTTCATGTTCATGCTATAATTTATGATGTTTTAGTTTGGGAAGATCTGTTTTCTTAGTCATATCAGTTGGTGCTATTTCCCCCCTGTAAATTCCTCTTCCATCCCAACAGACTCTGCTGCTCACATGTTGTCTGTCAATCCCCTCTTTATCCTACCCTTCCTCCAGTCTCCCTTTTCTTATAATTGACCTCACGACAATGGCAATATCACCCAGCCTGATGAAGGGAGCTTTGACTCTTGGAAACTTATTCCCTGAAACTCTTGTTGGTCTCTAATCTGCTACTGGACTCAAATCTAACTGTCCCAGTATCACCAAGTAAGTTTCATGCAAAATGTAGATCTGAACATGGGTCTCCTCAATCCACACTGGTCTTCATGCCATTGGTCCATCTACTTCAGCATGGTCTGCTCTGATGCAGGTGATCTCTAGAGATTCAGACAGAGAAAGATCCTTTCCAACACCTGTTTTCTTAGACCTTCTCGGTTTAAACCTTTATCCTTTGGCACACAAAGCATGATTTCTCTACCATCAGTCCATCAGTGTCATCATTGTCTACTCAGACTGGCAGTGGTTCTCCAGGGTTTTATGTAGAGGGTTTTGCCCATGCCATGCTTTGTTTTTGAGCCGTTGGGCCTGGCTAGGGGGGTTCTCAAGGGTTCCCAGGTCCCCCTAAATTTCTGGAGAGCCCCTTCCTAAATCCCACATGGCTCCGCCTCCATAAATAGTGACAATGGCCTGTAACGTCACTGGCTCCTCCCTATGATGTCACTGGGCCTCGGTTCTTTTAAGGACCTAGCACAGCAATGCCTCTGGCCCAGCCCCAGGCTCCCCTCCCGGGAAATTGGAAAGTCTACGCCCTTGGAAAACTGCCAGGACATTCAGTTGCTGACCTAAGGGTGGCAGTTCTCTTACAAAGGAATTTCAAAGGGAGATTAGAGAGACTGCTGAGTTGCAACTGATCATTAAGCTGAAGACAATGCAGACTACTGGACTGAATCGAAACCTAGGTTTCTTCTCTCATTACCAACATCTGCTATTGTCATTTGGCATCTGAAATCACTTCACTCTCTAAGATATAAGGACCAATGGACTCACATTCTAGCTGTATCTGAAGAAGTGAGCTGTGACTCATGAAAGCTCATGCCCTGCCACAAATTTTATTAGTCATTAAGGTGCATATTGAAAGAAAATAAATTGCATGTCTTACCAGCAACCTTTGGCCCCAAAGGGATTTGAGCCCAGGAATTTTGTGTCCCCCCTCCCCCCCTTAACTCTGACCATGGACCATCTCTGTGAGAGAATGTGCAGAACTGAGGGTCCTCATAGCGGCCACCAAAGACTCTTAATTAGACCTGTTCTGGGAGTTCTGTACCTGGAACTTAATTTCCAGGTGCAGAACTCCCAGAACGGGTATAATTAAGAGTCTAATTAAGACTTAATTTCCAGGTACACATGGGCCCAATTCATATTTGGACCATGGTGCAGAGGACGTTTAAGCCCCCTCTCCTTGCATGCCGTAGTTTCCCCCCCACCCCAATGCTGTTTTTCTTGACCTGAAACGGCTCTGGGGAGCTGCTATTTGCCCCACTGGGGAAACTAACATGCCCGCTGCCAGTACATTCCAGGACAATGGCAGCAGGGAGGAGAAGTTTAAGCCCCCTCTCCTTGCATGCCATAGTCCCCAGTCTAAATCATAGAGCCATAGAGTTGGAAGGGATCTCCAGGGTCATCTAGTCCAACCCCCTGCACAATGCAGGGAATTCACAAATACCCAGAGGTCGATTTGGGGGGGATTGCGGGGGATCGCAGTTCCCCTGGGTGAGGTGCGGGGGGCGGGGCACACGACGAAGCCCCACCCCCTGTTTCCGGCCACCCCGCTTCGGCCCTCATTCAGTCAGGAGGAGGCAGGAGAAGAGGGAGGGTAAGTTGCTTCCTCCCCGCCTCTCCCCACCCCTGCCTGCCTGGGGCCAGGGAAGGCCTTGGCGGGGCTTCCTCGCACTCCCGCCGGCCTTGCAGTTCCACTGCCGGGCCTTATGATGTCAGGGGGTGTGGTATATGCTAATGAGTTATGCTAATGAGTTCCCCTAGCTCTTTTTCTACAAAACGACCCCTGCAAATACCTCCCCCACACACACACCCAGTGACTGCTGTTCCACACCCAGAAGATGACAAAAGACATCTAGGATCTCCAGCCAAACTGGCCTGGAGAAAAATTGCTTCCAGATCCTAAGGTGGTGATCAGCGTTTCCCTGGACGTGTAAGAAAGGGCCACAAGAACTAAGCAGTGATGCAACCCTTCCAGCCCTCCCTCTCATGACCTATCTATGTTCACAGAGAATCAGCATTGCTGGCAGATGGCCATCTAGCCTCTGTTTAAAAACCTCCAAAGAAGGACGCCCATGCATGTCTGGGAAGCATGAAACTCCCACAATAATACATGGTGAACTATTTAAATATATGGTAACAGTGGCAAGGGTGATATTTGCATCTAAATGGAAGATGGAAAGATGCCCTGAACTGATGGACTAGAAGAACAAATTAACTGAGTATGCAACAGTGGCAAAACTAACCTTATTTACATAACAGATCAAATTTAGAATTTCAAGAAAAAATGGGATTTACTTTTTGATTACATAGCTGAAAACAAGCTGAAAACTAGGACTGGATTGTTAAAATGGAGAATGATTAAGAGAGGGAATCGGGCAATACGTGTTTGTAATAATGAAATGTCAGATATCAAGTACGGAAGGAAAGGTAGAACACAGATTGGGGTTGATTGTGTAAAAACGATGTAAATTGACTGGTAGTTATTAGAATTGTATAAACTACTTATTATTGTTGATATTGCATGTAATGAATATATATACCTGTTTTAGAATATTATAAATAACACACAATGCACTTTATAAGATGGAACAAATAGAACACATTAACTTATAAAAGGTTTTTGCAGTGTATATTTGTGTTGTTTGACCCACCTGGAAGTTGGCAACCCTAATTCTGCTGGGGGGCCACCAATCGAGCCAGGCTATATCTGAAACAGAAGACATTGCTCAAGCCTCTTTAGTATGTCAGTGCCTCGTTTCTTAAAAATACCAGTGTACAAGAATCATTTTCTTCTCCATGTGTTTCTAGGCAACCCCAAACCAGAGATCACCTGGTGTCGGAATGGACGAGATATAAAAGAACTGGAGGACTCTTCCAACTATGAAATAACAGATGATGACCCGGTTCATACTTTACATCTGTTTGGGTAAGCCTCTATTGTCTACTCTGTAACACACGGCCTATTTCACACCACTTATTCGGTTTCTCGAACACTTTGCTTCCTCGAAGAGTTTGCAGGCTGTGACCCTATGGACACTGGGATACAGTAGTGGCTATCGGGGCAATCCTAACCGGGGTTACAGCCATCTAAGGACCAGACTGTGTGTTTGGGCTTTGAATGAATTGGGTCCAGGTTCTCCAAAACCAGCTCAGGGTCCTCCTCACAGACACACAGTAGCTAAGGGCCTTTTAAAAATAAAGGAAGTGCCCAAAGCAGCTTGGAACACCACGGGGGGAAGGAAGGGTTCCTCCCCCCCCCGCTGTTTTCCCATGTAGAAACAGTGTGGTATAGGGTTGCCAGTCTCCAGGTGGGGCCTGGGGATTACCCGCTTTTGCAACTTATCTCCAGCTGACAGAGATCAGCTCTCCTGGAGAAAACATCTGCTTTGAAGGGAGGACTGTGTGGCGCCTCGTACCATGCTGAGGCCCCTCCCCTCCCCAGACCCCACCCTCTCCTGGCTCCACCCCCAAAGTCTCCAGGTATTTTCCAACTAAGACCTGGCAACCCTGGTGCTGGAGATAGTTACTTCATTGTTTTTGCTGGCCCAGATGCACAGAATATTTCACATGGAGCTCGGGGGTGACGCTTTGCTTTATGGGCAACACAAGGGTCACTGGAAAAGGCAATAATGCTAGGGAAAGTTGAAGGCTGCAGGAAAAGAAGATGACATAAGAACATAAGAACATAAGAGATGCCAATGTTGGATCAGGCCAAAGGCCCATCCAGTCCAACACTCTGTATCACACAGTGGCCGGAAATACCAGTGCCATCAGGAGGTCCACCAGTGGGGCCAGGACATTAGAAGCCCTCCCACTGTTGACCCCCCAAAGCACCAAGAAGACAGAGCATCACTTGCCCCAGAGCCCCTCTCTATACCTTGTGGCTAATAGCCACTGATGGACTTCTGCTCCATATGCTTATCTAATTCCCTTTTGAAGCCGTCCATGCTTGTAGCCGCCACCACTTCCTGTGGCAGTGAATTCCAAGTGTTAATGACGCAACCTGAGATGGATTGACTCAGTTGAGGAAACCACGGCCTTTAGTTTGCAAAACCTGAACAAGGCTGTTAATGATAGGATGTACTGGAGGACATTAATTCATGGGACCACCATAAGTCAGAAATGACTTGACGGCACTTCACACAAACACACCCACGGACACACAAGCAGGGTTGGTATTTTGGATGGGAGGCTACCAAGGAAGACTGTGCAGAGGAAGGGAATGACAAAACACCTCCGCATTTCACTTGCCTCGAAAACCCCTCACTAGGGTTGCCATAAGTTGGTTACAACCTGATGGCACATACGTATATATGTCATATTGACTAAAGTTTTGTCATTTTGAGCTCAGGGATGCCATTCTGTCTGGGAAATTTCACCTGTAGAGTTAAAAATATGCCATTGGGGTTTTTTTTAACGTTCATTCATTGCTTCACTCGAAAATGTTTCATATAAATACATCTTTTTAAATTCACAGATGCACAGAGGAACGAGGCGGCGTTTACCGAATTGTGGCCAGTAATTGTTTTGGAAGAGTTCAGTCTTCGGCTTTCCTTAAAGTGACACCTGGTGCAAAATCTGAAGTGTGTAAAACATTACACGATAATCCTAAAAACAATGTGAGAACTCGCAGAGCAAATGACATTACTGCGTATCATTGGGAAAGTTCTGACCAGGCTACAGAGAATAAAGAAGATTTAGTAGCAAAGAATGATTCAACCCAGGAGTGTTTTTTATCTTTAGAAGCATCGGAACCTCCAGCACCAGAATTCAATGGTTTGCTCTCCAAGCGAACCACATTTTCCTACCCAACGGAGCATGGAATTTGCCCTCCAATGGAAAATCAGCACAAAAATCATTGGGAAAGTTCTGACCAGGCTACAGAGAATAAAGAAGATTTAGTAGCAAAGAACGATTCAACCCAGGAGTGTTTTTTATCTTTAGAAGCATCGGAACCTCCAGCACCAGAATTCAATGGTTTGCTCTCCAAGCAAACCACATTTCCCCACCCAACCGAGCATGGAATTTGCCCTCCAATGGAAAATCAGCACAAAAATATTAATTGTTTAGGAGACGGCATGTGTACTAAAAATGTACTCAGCCTAGAGGCAAATAATGGTAGCATTTTGGACACGACCCAAAATACATCTGATCTCTGTATTTATGAAAGCCTTGAAATGTCTAGGGAGTGTACAGAGAGAGAAATGTCCAGGGACTGTAGTGAGAGAGAGGTGGATTCAGTCAACAGCTCACAAGTGGATTTCAAACCAGCAAGTCAAATCGATGATCATACAAACAGCTGTTCCCTTAATGCCGAAGACTTAGCTGCTTGTCAGACAACCGAATATGCCAAGACACATGAAGAGATTTGCCTCAGTGAAGTTCAGAGAAAAGAGGCACTGTCCCTGAGTCATGCAGCTGCACCTCTAGAAAGTCAGAACTCTGGTCTAGAGGATTCCTATAAAAATGCCGACAATGATTTTGAGATTCTTCCGGGCAGAACCTTTACTACGGCGCATGACTCTTCTGACAACGATGGCCTGGAAGACCTCGAATGTTCCGACGTGATGACGGAGGAGTCGTATCAAGAGTGGGAAAGGGAGCTGAGGTTTCTGCTGGAAAGCGATGAAGATGAGTTAACTCTGGGTAACGATTGTGACGGGTGTGCTTACTTCCTCGGTGAAATGCCTCGCCTGTGTCAAGTGTCGGATAACACCGTGCCTATGGATGCCACCATTGGCTTCTGTGGTCATCAGTCAAAATCCAAAGAAGTAGCTGTCAGGAACGGCCTCACTGCATGCAATCCATCACTCTTACCAACAGGAATGACCCTGACAGTTGGGCAACAGCAAACTAAAGCTCCCACCACGAAAGACAAAGAGAAGTACGAGCAGCCTGTGTCTTCCATGGCAATTGAAAATGATTATCCCCGAATCGAAGAGGAAAACAATAGCAATGGTCAATCCGCTGAAGATTCTTCTGGCGACGGATCACAAAGCATGGCAAATGAGCTTTTGGGGATGGAACCCTCTTCTTGCGGAATAACCGGTTCCTCCGCATTCACAGAGAAACCAAACATGGAGAGAAACTCCTCACGGAAAAACTCGCAAAAATTTGCAAAGGTAAGGGAGAAAGTGACCAAAAGAGGAGGCAAAGATAATGCAGTTGTTCCGACGAAGGCGTCAAAATGCTATCTAAATAAGTTGCACCCCAAAGAGCTTCATGCAGCCAAAAGTTGCACAATCCAAAGGGAAAGAAGATGTTTGGATTCTGCTGCCCTACTTCGTGCATGTAACTGCGGCGATCCGAATGAAGCACACCAGGATACCGCCAAGTCTTCAACCCATTATGGCTTATTGCATAGCAAAGGAGGAGATGGAAACAGCCCACAGGAAGGCGAACAGATTAGCAGTCTGTCTGAGGGAAACCCGTTGCCAAATGCAAATGGGGCACTTGTGGTAAGGGAAATTATTTTACCATTTAATTACAGGTTTATACCCACTGGCTTGAATGTACTTGATTCCTGCTTGTCGTAAAAGAATATGGATCCCAAAATACTTTTTTTTCATTCAGGCCTCCGTGATTGACAGCTACTGCTGTTAAGGAAGTCTGGTTTTGAAAAAAGGCCCAGATAAACTTTAAGCCAACCTAATTATAGAGAGAGAAAGAGGTGGTGTGTGTGGGGGGGAGGTCCTGATAATAGTAAATAGCGCTAATGGGACTTCAGACAGCTGGAAAAAGAAATCTGATATCGAATCTGCTCCATAAGTCTTATTTGAGCAGTATCTGGCTTTCTCCTTGATGCTGGTCAAAGATTCTTGAGCCCGGGTGGAACAAAGAAGGAGTTGGGTGGAAAGGACTGGGGAGAAAGGAGCAATTCAGGAATGGGGTTTGTTTTCAAATCTCAGGTTGTTGTCCTGATTGTGTATCCTGCCCGAGAATGTGACCCTAATCTTCTTCTTAGGTCCTCGTGTCTGCTGCACTCTTGTTTTTAAGGCTCAAGTGGTTAAGACGCTGAACTGCAGGCTGTGGAAGGTCAGCAGTTCAGCAGTTCGAGACCTGAGTGTGCCGCATGATGGAGTGAGCTCCCGTCTCTAGTTCCAGCTCCTGCCAACCTAGCAGTTCGAAAGCAAGAAATTGCAAGTAGATAAATAGGTACCACTTTGGTGGGAAGGGAACAGCGTTCCGTGCGCCTTGGTGTTTAGTCATGCTGGCCACATGACCACGGAAACATCTTCGGACAGCGCTGGCTCTTCGGCTTTGAAACGGAGATGAGCACCGCAACCCTAGAGTCGGATTCGACTGGCTTTCGAGCAAGGGAACCTTTACCTTTACCTAGCAACTTAGAGGGCTCCCAGTCATCTTCCGCCTGAGCACTGATTAGGTCCATACCATTCAAGTTTCACCGTTGCTATAGAATTCAGCACTCATAGACCAGTTACCAGAGCTATGTACTATATGTATGCCAAATGCAGTCCTGGGATATCTGTGCGTATGTGTAAACTGAATGCTACAAGTTGTAGAGAAGTCGGAGAAGAAATCGAGTAGAAGATAGTACATAGTGTCCGAGATGAAAGTAACTTTGAGCAGAGTTCACTGACTGTGGAAGAGGGCTTGAGCTCTCTGTTAACTAGCAAATCCAGCAGGGAAAAGTTAGTGATGCAATAGCTACCACTACAGCTGCCTCTCACAGTAGGCAAGACTGTCGTCCTTGATAAAGCAATGTTCTTACTTGGTAGTAGATAACGACTTTATGGCTGCGGTCACACACACTAATTAATCCACTTTCAATTCTCTTTCAGTGCACTTTTCAATTGGATTTTGCCAGTCCACACAGTAAAAATCCAGCTGGAAACTGCATTGAAAGTGTATTATTTAGTGTGTGTGACCACAGTGTTTTATGTTTAATCCAGTGCTAAAGTGTCCTGGTCTGATTCAGGGCAGTTTCTTACAGCAAAAGTTGCAGAATGCCAGACTTTAAAACAGAAAGTTCCTTATTAAGGAGATTTTTTTCTTCCCTGGTGGTGGTTTTAAGTAGACTCTACTAATAGGTGTACTGATAGCTGTCATCTCTCTCCAGCTGATCTCGCTGTTCCATGTACACCACAGCCCACTGAGAACAAGAAACTGTGATACGGTGCACAAAAAATAAAGTTATCAGACAAGTGATATTTCCTTATTTTTCATATAATATTCTTACTCTTTAACACATTCACTTTAATGGAAAAGTTTATCACATAAAAGAGCAGATGAACTTTGTGTGCCTTCAATATTCTGAGAATGCTTATTCCTATAGAGTTGATACTTGTATATATAGAGTTGATACTTCTAACGGGGGGGGGGGGTTTCTTGCCATTTTGGATATTTGTCTACCGTTGAGTCTCGGCTGAGGAAAAGTCCCACGACTTGAAACGAGCAATACTCAGATCTGGAATATCTCGTCCTCTTTGGACTCCTTGGATAGAAACCTCTTTCGATTCTACACAGAAATTTGTTCGTACTGAACTTATATGGTTTTCCATTCGGACTGGACTTCTATGGTTTTCCATCTAGTAACTACAATCTATAATTTTGATATGAAACCTTCCGATAAGTGAATGTGTTAAAAAGTAAGAATATTGTATGAAAAATAAGGAAACGTAACTCGTTTGATAACTTTATTTTTTTGTGCACCATAACACAGTTTCGTGTTCTCAGTGGGCTGTGTTTCACTGGCTGTGATTCTTCTGTCTTGGTTCCATGTGGCCTAGCATCAGTGGGAAAGGACAAGTGCTCCTTTTCCTTCTCCTGAAAGTGTCACTGGTGAATGACCAGTGTTCTGACTCAGCGTCTCAGTCACCCTCAGTCACCCAAGCATGGCACAATGACATCTTGAAAGAACTTGGCTGACTTCTTCTCATGTAAGGCACGTGCAGGAATCGCCAATGCTGTTCCTTATCTGTTACTGTTGGATCCTAAGAACTGCTAACGAAGTGTTCTCCAAAGGCCAGTTCGAAGATAATCTTCTGTAGCAGTAGGCTAAGTTTTGGGATTATTTCCATGGAGGGATATAGACATTAAAAAAACCTGTTTTCTTGGAATGAATCACCCATGCAACTTGAGGGTCTGTGGCACAGTGGCAGAGCATCTGCTTGGCATGCAGAAGGTCCCAGGTTCAATCCCTGGCATCTCCAGTTAAAGGATCTGGCTGGCAGAAGGTGATGTGAAAGACCTCATCCTAAGAACATTACAACATAAGAGAAGCCAATGTTGGATCAGTCCAATGGCCCATCCAGTCCAGCACTCTGTCACACAGTGGCCAAAAATACCAGGTGCCATCAGGAGGTCCTCTAGTGGGGCCAGGATAGTAGAAGCCCTCCCAATGTTGACCCCCCCCCAAGCACCAAGAATACAGAGCATCACTTGCCCCAGACTGAGAGTCCCTATCTATACCTTGTGGCTAATAGCCACTGATGGACCTCTGCTCCATATGCTTATCTAATTCCCTCTTGAAGCTGTCCATGCTTGTAGCCACTGCCACCATCCTGAGACCCTGGAGAGCTGCTGCCAGTCTGAGTAGGCAATGCTGACTATGATGGACCAATAGTCTGTTTCAGTATAAGGCAGCTTCATGTGTTCACGTGTGTTCAGCTGGCTCAAAGGAAATATCATGGTATGAAAAGCAGGGACAGTTTGAATGTTATATCATCTCTCCAGGGCTATTTTTGGGCAGGAACGCACAGGAACAGAGTTCCAGCCGGCTCCCAAGTTGCCCACACCCAGCAGGAACTTATTAGCATAATAGGCCACACCCAACAGCAGAAACTCATTAGGATTGGCTGCATTAGGGGTGTGTGGCCTAACATGCAAAGGAGTTCCTGCTACAAAAAAAGTCCTGGGTTTTGACAACAAACAAGGTAAACAGAATAACAAGCAAAAGGTGGGTGTGGCTGGATAACCACACTTCTGGTAACATGGGCTGTGCTGTCGGGGTGTGGCCTAATATGCTAATGAGTCTCTGCTGTTGGGTGTGGCCTTTTATGCTAATGAGTTCCTGCTGGGCTTTTTCTACAAAAAGAGCCCTGCATCTCTCCATGGTGAGGAGCAGAGGGAGCATATCTTATTCTCTCCCTTCCTAGTGCACAGGCCCCCCCATCTGATGATGTAATATCCAGCTTGGTCAAATCCAGTCCTCTGGTTCTGAGTGATGGTGGAAACCCTAAATTATATGCAGAATTGCAACCGATGCTCCCTCTAAGCTATGGAGTCCTGTGAGCAAAAATTCTTCTTTGTGAGCTACTGGCATTAAAAATGTGAACAAGTAATATGGCTACTGCATAAATTAGTTTGCTCTGGAGCCATCCTTCCTGAGTTAAGGCAAAAATGTGTGAGCCAGAGGCTAAAAAACTGTGAGCTAGCTCACACTCACTCAGCTTAGAGGGAACACTGATTGCAACCACACAACAGCGTTTGTGCATAGTTTCAGAGGATCTGTAGTAGAATAGCCAGATCTGAGACCAGTAGACAGAGGAAGAAGAAGAGATTGGATTTATACCCTGCCCCACCCTACCCAAAGGAGTCTCAGAGCGGCTTGCAATCTTTTTTACCTTCCCCTCCCCACAACAGACACCCTCTGAGGTGGGTGGGGCTGAGACAGCTCTTTTGAGAATTGCTCTTTCGGGAACAGCTCTGAGAGAACTGTGACTGACCCAAGGTCACACCAGCAATGGAGGAGTGGGAACTCAAACCTGGTTCTCCCAGATTAGAGTCTGGGCTTCTAACCACTACACCAACAAGATTTTCAGGATAGGAGCTTTTGAGAGCCAGAGTTTGCACGGCGGCATCCTTCCCTCTTGTGCTGATCTTAGATAGGATAGTTATATCATCCCCAAGTAGCTTCTATTTTTTAATTCATACTAGCTCCCGTGGTCAAATTGGATGGATGAGCCGTTCTGATCCAATGCTTTCCCGGGTAGGGATTCCTTTAAAAGTGCTTTGGCATTTCAATAACACCCAGGAATTGCTGCTGTGACAGAGATATGAGAAGGTTATGAAGAAGCAATAGGTGATGTGGCCACAATGGATGAGCCACTTAAGAAGGACTGCCAGCCGCCTGGAGAAAAAATGTTCTGTCCTTTAATAGATGCTGGATGTGTGTGAATGGGCAGGTGAAGCTTTTCATGGCATAGAGTGAAATTCATCACCTGGCAAATAACTCGGGATGGGCACCAACCAGCTCACGAAATCCTGACGAATTTTGGGCAGTTCATGGTTCGGGATCGGAAGTTTCGGAACTTTCCATGAATTTACAAGCGGTTCCTGGGGGTTCCTGAATGCGTACATTTCCAGACAGTCTGCACTCCATCAAGATGTTTACCAAATTTCAAAAGCAGCATGAGGTTCCCTGTGTGTTTGGTGTATGTAGCTTGCAGGGGGTCCATTCTATACCCTTTTGAACTTGCGCCTGACATCTCCCCCA